GTTAGTAATATTCACCACTTAAAAGCTTCTCATTTTTATTTTGATTAATTTTTTAGAATTTATTTCTAGTCAAGTTTTTCCTGTCCGTGTCTAAAAAAAAGTTTCTGTCAAGAATCCTTTGAAGGTAATAAAACGCCTGCCTTGTATAGTGGGTCTGGGTTTACCCATTTGGTGATTAGTTGGCCGTTATTCGTAAGAAGGGCGCAAGGACGCTCAGGCCATGCACATTGTTAGGTAAGGTTTGTTAGAATGAGTCGTTGAGGGGAGAATGGTACTGGTCAGCTTGATAAGAAATGATCTGTAGTGATCCAGCTGTTTTACTTTCTGATGGCTTCTAAGAAACTGTAATATTCCCGAAATACCAGGAATTAAGTAGTTTTGACAAAATAATGAGACCTCTTTGAGTACTTTGAGTATTTTCTAAGGTCTTTTTTTCAGGCATTTTCTTTTAATCTGAGCACCAGTTTGTCAAACATGGACTAGACTAAAGCATTCACTCTTCATATTCCACTGCAACCTCAGGACTGTTAATTCCCTCACGCCTTCGGCTTACGCCGCATAACACTTCAGCGTTTTCTTAAGTTACTTCTACTGCATTAGGGGAGTGTTGACACTCATTAGGCTGGAAGTAATAGCTGATTCTTTTGTAAAATCCTGAGCAGTTTGGGAGGTTCTGGTGTAACCAGTGATCCCTGCGTAGAAAAACTAAAATTTATCTTGGTGGGACTCATAGTTTTTAATTAGAGCAGCTGTTCCGTCAGTACCTTAGTTCAGCATAAAAAGAAACATGTTTTGTTTAATTACTGGATGTAATCCGTGCATTTTTGGTTCTCCACCCTGTTTTCAGGCTAATTGCGGTAGATATGTTTCGGGTCACGCATCTGCACATTGGTCAGAAACGGAGCATCCAATGGTAATGAGTCTAGCCGACTTGTCCGTTTGGTGTTATAGCTGTGGGGCATACGTGCATAATGAGAGGCTTTCAAATGCGAAAAACAGCGCTCACTTGTCGAAGTTCGGCTCAGCAATACCGGGCTGACCACAACCGGATAGAAACCCCATTATTTTCCGTTGATGAAAGGGCGGGTATTTCAAAAAAGATTCGTTTCAACCAATTTAAAGTGCTTTATCACTTCACTTAATAATTTAGCTTTTATTATGACACTGCTGAAGAGTGTATATAAATAATCAATGTCTTCAAAAGTTGTAATCTGAATAGAGAAGACAAGCTTTAAATTCTGAAACAATCTTAAATTGCACGGCGCATCTAATATTTACTTCACGAATTACTGTAACAGAGAAAATGGATTCAAGCCAGTAAAGAATCGTATAGGAAAAGTTCATTTTTTTTTCTAAAGCAAAAGAAGAGAATACAATAGTGGGCAATTTTTCATTACCAATCACAGAAAGAAGTCCCTACCTATTAATTAAAACGACAGGCCATAATTGGGGTTTCTAGGCAAACTGCAGGCACGACACATTTCAAAATATGCAGTTAACTACTGTAAAGTAAATTACTGAGAGGCCTTTTAACATAAGAATGACGGACTAACGAAGAAAACACGTTTGTGATTAGTGACTGGAAACCCATCAGTGAGGAAGATGACGAACTAACACGAGGAGTTTTTGCAAAAACAACGAATTTCTGAAGGTAACACCTGCTTGTCATTCCCGTCGCACAGTTGTAAAAAAAAAAGACCAAAACAAGTTGGTAGCAGAAAAGTAAACATCTACTCTTTACAAATAAATAGTAAATCACAGCCTAAATCCTCAGAAAGTATTATAAATTAAATTTCAGTTCGAGCAATTTGTTGACTTGAACAGATACACAAAGTTTTTAATACAAACAGTACAGATCCAACCACCAAACTTCTGATAAAATTCACAAGATTGATAAGACAATGTCAAAAAAATAAAACTAAAAAATCAAGTGTGAGAAATAATCATCCAACTGACAACAAAGTAAAACAGAAATACAGGATAAATAGCTAAAACTTTCCTTTTTGGTGGCTGAGACCCAGAAAGGAACGCCATCGACGCTGAAAAAAGTGTTACGTATTCTACGCAAGAGAACGCTTAAAACTTAACTTTTGATTAAACATGCCACTGATTATACTTAGTCGGAAAGAAAAAAAGCGGTAGGACGCTAATGTTCGGAGGCACCGCGATTACGGAAATAGGTATAGCGATATCTAGTGCGACCCAATAAAAAATTTAAAAATTCAATCAAAATCTTGAAAAGGTCTTTAAAAGAAGACACGAGATAAGTTATTACGAAAATTTTGGTTATATAAAGCAAAAGATTTACCATGTGTTGCCCAAACAAATCCAGCAATTGTCACCAGAAGTCGTATTAAAAACGCTAAAGAATTTTTCGAAGGGCCCATCTCGATGAACTTGCAAATTAGTGCTGCTGCTCCGGGAGGTAAGAGGCAGTAACCAAGAACACATAACGTTTGGAAGAAAGATCTAAATTTTACTCATAAAGAGCAGAGTCGTTGTAAAACCCAAGGTTCGCTACGCATTTTGTTAATTAAACAAGCAGTTAGGAGGAATTTAATTCAACTGACTTAAGTGTGTGTATTCTTAGATGTATTACAAAAGAATGCGCTATCTTAAATTTCTAAACAACATATTTTTTCCCCCAGAGAACAACTTCACGTTTAAAGAATTTTACTGTAAAACAAATCAACTTCCTAACGAACAGCTACTCATAAAGAATTAAAAATTTCTACCTTTGAAGCTTTCATAAATTATCTAAGAGTAGAAGGAACAAAAAAATTGTCCCAAGAATTTTTAAAAATTTAGTTTTGAAGATCGTGTGGAAGAATTTCTGAGAAGTCTTAAAAGAATAAAGAAAAAAGAGTTTTAAAAAAAATTTTAGACTAGAACAGGTCGAAAAAGCGAGAAACCCAGAAACTAACAAGTAAGGGACACTCAAATGGAGTTGAAATCACTCGTAACCAGCAGAAGTCACCGTACACCACCAGCAACTTCCACTTCCCTACAGTCCTATAGCTAAGAAACGTAAATGATTTCTCTGGGTATGAAGACGTAAATAATACCACCATAATTACTGAACACGTAGATATTATGAGAAGAAGAGCAAAACGGCATTACATCATCAACAAACAGTTGCAATTTCCTCCCCTATCCTAAGGCTTTATAGAACGACCATAATGCTGTATCAGCCCCTTCTTAAAACAGCTAACATATATTTGGAAGAGCGTGGTACAGAATAACAGGCAGGAACAGCAAGTGATTCTGGGAGCAAATTATGTCCTCAGATAGATTGGAACTTTGGAAATATAAAACAGAAATGAAAGAAGAGCGAACCCAAGCCTATGCCAGACCGACCACACTCTCCAGAGCCTCAATTTTTTGGAGAACGTAAGTGCCCATTGAGTTTTCTGAGAAACCTTCTGGCATCTACGTTCGAATTTCGAATGAGACTTCAACTTCTTCAAAGAGCAATCAAAGTACTTTAAAATGAAATTTTTTAAAAGGCCAGAAGGATGTTCAAAGTGGTGCAAAGAAGGTTACGCTTGCTTACTCTGGGTAATGTTTAAAAGCATATACTACAGCGTATCGTAGACATTTCAACGATATATTTCATTATAAAACTAGGACCACAAAAACTCATTCATTCCTGTATCTACCAACAAGTTCCTAGTTAACAACAAAAATACTAAGAGAATAAAAAAAGACTGCTCTTTTAAAAGTTGCTGAGAAATTAAAGTAGGAAGAAATGTCTAAAAGTCCCTAACATGTGGCCTCCAAGCAGTTTGATATTTAACGTCACCACACAGGCACCAAAGAAAGTTAGAGAAAAAACTTCTGTAAAATGGGGCCCATTGCCTTTATCTCCACCCTGCAGTAATCTGAAAAAGAATCAAAGTTTACAAGTTACTCCTTATCAAAAGTTTAAAAATAACAAATTTATTCCTGTCCCTGTGCGTTAATTTGAATTATTGAAAAATTTGCGCCCAGAAAATGAAAAACACAAAAAAAGCAACTTTCACAAAAACATTACAACAGTGCCTCAGATGTGCTGAAGCAGCGAACTTACAATGAGATAAAAACACAAATAAAAAGAGGGCCCCACAAGTCCCAATCGCGCAAGAGTTGTTTATCACTTCTTGGTACCAGTACGTGAGCAAATTTGTTCCCAACTGTTCGCAGATCACGCTTCTTCAAAAGTAAAACAAGTAATGTGTAATTCAACAAAAGCTTGCACAGAATATGATAAGTAATCCCATACTAGAACAATCTATAAAGAAATAATTTTATAATTGTAAAGAACTGATAGTGAGTAAAGATCAACGTACCACTGTGTCCCAAACCGGCTCATCAAGTGTATCAAAATCAGTTTCTAACCCAGGTTCCAAAGTGCGAGGCCGCCTAATACTGGTAGCGCCAGCAATATCACCGCTAAGATCGACAAATTGCTGCTGACGCCTGGTTTCCTCCTTACTCGCAATTTCTTTTTCCAGCTGTGACAAAACTTAAGATAAAAAATTTCTTTGTGAAAGTAATAAATTTTACCCTCAACTTTAATTCGCTTATAAAGAAATAAATCAGAAGATTAGACGGTAATGCAAATAATAACTGATACTTATATTGCGCAATTAAAAACAATGTAAAGCAAGCGGCAAAGTTTAGAGGAAATAGAGTGCTTTCGAAACTTTTGACGTACCTCCGCAATGTCTACAGCAGCATTACCGAAATTAGTAGCCATAGTAGAAGGTTGCGAATCAGCACCTAAACAAAAAAGTTGTGTAATTGTGAATAATTTTACACTTCAACGATCCCACCTCACTTGCTATGAAAGGAATTTTACCGTATTTGAGTGAATTCTCCAGTCTGTCAAGAAGCACTCATAGCTGGAAATTTTTAGTTGAGGATTTTCAGAAGCAAAAAGCTTTGTAAAAAAAAATCATGTTAAAAAGCAAATGATTCTGCATCAAAATTAAAGCAACCAGACCCTGAATCACCGAAGGATTGTCTGGGGTTGGGCTGAAGTCAGGAACAAAAGCAGGATTCTGCATCTCACCAGTAGGACTAAAACCGCTCTGACTGTTCAGTAAACCACCTAAACTTGAATGAATTTTTGGTGGATCACTAGACATGCGACATGCAGAGTTCTTCACCAATTCCCCGTTATTAAGCTCTGCAATTCAATCTATAATAGTAATCCGTAAAAAAAATCCTTTTCAGTACAAAAATCACCTCAATTCTGAGTCAAAAAACGATGATTACAGTTACACGTAGCAAAAAATAAAATAAAATAAAAATCCGCTGATAAATAAAAAAAAATTGCTTTGGGGTTTTAGCAACCGAATAAAATAGAATAAATTAGTTGAATAGATTTACAAAATTTTTTACATCTCGGCATGATTTATTGTCAGATGTTCCACTGCATAAAACAGAAAGCGCATTCGGCATTAGCAAACACCAAGTTAAGGCAACAATATGAACCGTACAGTTATACAATTTAGTCCAAAAAAAAAAAAAAAAACTTGCTCTATCAGATGCTAGACGGACACATAAGCAACACTCTAAAACAGTGAAACACCAATTTTCGAAAAAAAAGTTTAAAAACAGTTGAAGACTCCATACAACAACAACACCTGATTCCTATTTGTTTTCAGTAATTTTTTCCTTCAGCAATATTTTTCTGAACATCAAACATAACAGAAGCAACAAGTCTGGTGCGGTTAACTTTTGTCTTTAAACTAGAGAAATACGACTACACAAACATGCGGTACAAAAATCCACGATGCAACAACGCATAGGTTTTTCCTCAAATAAACGAGCCCCACGTCACACACGAAAAAAATTAGTTTATTATCCACGCCGACATGTAACACGATGAAATTATGTCAATGTGAGCTTTCCAGCCAAATCTTTATCGTTTTGTCAATTTTCATTTCACAGATCCTTATCAGTACTGTACGACAATATCAGTTGCCAGTTGATTTCCTCAGTGAACAATCACTGACGTTGGCGTATGGGTGGCTGCCAAGCCACAGCACAAAACTGCTCGGTGACCAAACTACTAAGTAGAGCAAAAAATTAAATCAAAAAACAATACCGACTGCTGCCTCAGCCATCTGTATCTTCTGTTCTGCTTTTCTTTCATCATGTCAAACATTTACAGCAGATCAGACTGGTTGACTTCATGCACATTCAGAAAAAAGAAGTACGCTGAAGTTGTTGGATGAAGATGCCTAAGCGAAACTTTGTTACACAGATTACCTACCAACCGCTGATGTGTCACTGAGCAGTCACTGTATTAATTGCTTTGCCTGTCATTATTACATCACGTCTATATGACTTTTGCCAGATGATGTATAAAAGCTGGATTTCCTTCTCTGTGAATAAGCCTTATTGTGCTTTAGAAAAACAAGAATTAAACACTGTAAATAATTTTGTCAAATTTTTTTTTTCTGCTTGAGGTTTACAAAAGAATTGAATTTATGGCGTACAGTTGAAATACTTTTGGAATGCCACTGCAGGTAACCGATGAAGATTTTATTTGCAATTTGTATAGTTTTATTGCAGTTTGGAAACTATTGATCAGATGCAAAACTCTACCCTGCAGTTTTGGTCTAACCTCATATAAATCCCTTACTT